GGGCTGGGGACCAGAATTGTGCCACTAAGGTTACAATTCCATGACCACCAAGACACACCTAGAAGTGTGCTTTACTAAATCCTTAGGCAAATACCAGGCCAATCAGATTGACAATTAAATTTAACCACCACAGGCAGATATGAATATCCCCTTTCTCATTTATACCAAGCCCTGCAATCATGTGACAGGATTTGTAGGCATTCATTGACTCCCTATTAATTTCAGAAACTGGCCTGTGCAAATTAAGTTTTCCTCCTCTTCCTTGGAAAACCAGATGTTTTTACAATCTTTCATAATATTCCATTGTTGCAAGAATTTTATTCTAAAATATGGAAAAGTTTCTTCCACTTCTAAACCTCAAAAATACTGTTACCTACCAGTAGTCTTTCTTTTTTGAAAAAGTATGATGTATGTACTTTGAAATTGTTAGAAAAGATAATATAGAAATGTTCCATAATGAATTTTATTAGGTAAGGTGAGAAGAATTTTAACTAAAAGTATTGATGGAAAGAATCATGATTTACAGTCTTATGTGTCACCAAAAGCAGGTAACTATCCATCAGTTCTTATCTGACATCTGATGATGTTATTGTATCACTGGTTTCTATAAATTAGGTTCTGTGTTAATGTTGGTAGTATTTTATTAGTATTCACTAATACACTAATACACTAAAACACTTGCCACAAACTGTTGGTAAATTGTAAAGTCAATCAAAAATGGGGAGAATCCTTATAAAACAACCAAAGTTATAATGAAACAGGAGAGAAGCAATACATTTTATTAGGCTTCTTATTAATTCCAAATGGCACCAATTATCCAAATGCTTTCTAAAAGAAAATATTATATCTATCCTTCCTGATAGAGTTCTCTACCAGACAAACTAGCTCCAACGGTCGGTCCTACCTTCTAAAATGGCTCCCGTTCCTAAAATGGTTCCTGCTTATGGAGATGAGCCACTTTGGGGGATGGGGGGGGAGGTGAAACCTACCCACTGTGGAGAAGCAAAGCCTAACTTGTTGCTCAGCCCTGCTACCCTGTGACACTCCCCTTCCAATCACCGGGCAACACTGTTGCCTGCCCAACAACCCAATTCTCAGCTCTTATGATTACTCTCCCCACTGCACCTTCCTTCCCACTCACACCCCTTAAACTCACTCTGGCCATTGTTGGAGGCAGCCCAGCAGCTACTTTCCCCAATAAAGCCTTGCCTGGAGTATTTCTGTTTTGGCTAGTTTCCTTTCATTTGAAATTCAAATGGACTTTTCCCTACTATATCCTTACCTCAGGCTACAAACTTCAGGTACTCCTGTAGATAATAGCCAGTTGTTGTGTAGCTGGTTCAGATGATGGTGAATGTTTGATAGTTCACTTCCACTGGGCCAACTCTTTTCATTAATAAGAGAATAATCTTTCCCTTTATATTATATGACACTGAAAAATCAGTATTCAGTACTAAAATTAGTCGTTGGACACTGAATATGAAAATCTCCATCTCTGAATGGAGACATGTAATCCTGTTATTTTATAGCTTTAAATACAAATTCTACCTTTCCTAGAAGACTATTACAGTAGAGGGCTCCAACTTGCTTCAACACATAAAGGGGAGGAAAAACAAAACAAAGAAGAAAAAATGATATTTTTGAAGGTAAACTTTCAACATAACATTAAAATTTAGTTTTTCTTCTCTGCCATGATTATACGAGTGTGTACATATCTACCTGTTTGATTTTTCTACAGATGAGCTCAACTTATGGATCTTCCTCTTTCTTTAGCTATAAAAACATACTTTAATCCACTTATTAATGTCAATGTCTTTTTGTATCTTCCATAGAATATTTACCATGTTAGTTCTTGATTATCTGCTTATAATCTTGGGCAATTTAATGTTTTGTGCCTTAATTTCCTTTTATATATAATGAAGATTACCAAACTTACTTAACCAGATTAAGAGGATAAATACATACTACTCAAAACAATACTGCATTATAATAAGCATATAAAGTATTTGCTATATTTTGAGCTGCTATACTATTATTTCATATATATTTCTTGTGCTATCGCCTTTTAGTTCTGCATTTTCTTCATTTTTCTGAAGCCTGAATTTATATCCTTGACTCTCTTTTCTATTTTCAAAGTCTCTTCTTTGAAAACAGACTCCATTATCACTGTTTCAAACTCTGCAGAGATGATGATGAAATCTAAAACTCTAGCTCTAGCTTTGGTCCTTAATGCTAGCTTCCAAAACCTCTTTGGATATTTCCAAAAGGATTCTTACCATGATCACAAACATAATGCCTCAGTATAAATTATTCATCTTCCCATTTGACATTGACCAATATAGAAATTCATTATCATTTAGGTTTGCCATTCTAATCTGTTTCCTCCCTTAATCTAACCAGTTATCAAATCTTGATTCATTTTACCACAGATTCTCTCTTCCCACTGTTTGTCTTATAGTTCAAAATACTGTATTAACATTGTCTCAACATCTACATCTAGCTTATCTTCTTTGCAGTTGGTATCTGATGCTGACAAATCTTACAATGAAATTTTGGAACATTATCATTTGTCAGTTTAGAAGGTGTCAATTCATTTCCTACTGCCTATAGGAGTGGGGATTTGCATAGTTGACTCTCAACCTTTCTTCCAATATGCAGACCTTTAAGCCAATCTGATGAATCTGCTGTTTCTTCACAGATATACTTCAAATTTCTCTCCTTGCCTGTTTGCTGTTAGTCGTCTACTTTCTCTTTACTCATACACTATCTTTCTCCTCTCATCCTATATTAATATTTTTTGCTTTACATGGTGTTGTTAAATCCGTTTCTCTTGCTCATCTGTATTGATCAGTTTGACCCATTCCAATCTCTATTATCATATAATGTGTATGGTATTTAAACCTTACTGTTGCTTATCTTTTACTTGCCTCCTTTCCTGAATAGAAATTGTCTGGGCATACACATGCCTTTTAACATCTCCTACATCACAAGGGCTCCATTACCTCTAACTAGCAACTAGTCTATACTCAAAAAATCTGTGATAACTCTTTTTATACAACTTGCAGCCCCAGTATAGTGATTAGAAAAAATATTTTAAAACTGGGTGTGGTATCTTCTACAAAATGACCTCCCAGTACTCTTCAAAAGAGTTGAGGAAATCAAAGACAAAAGAAGACAAGAATCTCACAGGATTTGGCAGGCTAAAGGCAGGAGAATCACTGCAAATTTGAGGCCAGTTTGGGCTACATAGTTTAAGGCTGGCCTATTTTAAGGATAGATATATATCCTTAAGCAACTGATGAGGAAATCAAGTTAGAAATTAAGTGAGTTTTTAAGATCTGCTAAAATGTCAGTTACTGTTTCCATGAAGCCAAATTACCTGTCCTCCTTTAGTTGACCAGAATACAAAAGCCAAATAAACAGTCGAAGTTCTCTTAAGAATGACCATCTTCCCTCAGAATTTCCCACTGCTCTGGATTTCTAGGAGGACTTCATTAACAAAGATTGAGGAGAGACTGTAGAGTGTGAGACCTGTGATCCAAGCTAATTAATATCACCAGTGATATTCATGCTGACACCCTTGAGAAAGGTGTATCACTTCAGTGATATTTTGCCCCTAGTATGCAAACTGAATATAATCATGAGACTACATCACACAAATTCAAACTGAAGGACCTTCTACAAAATGACTGCCCAGTACTCTTCAAAAGAGTCCAGACAATAAAAGACAAAAGACAAGAATCTCACAGGTGGAAGGAGACAAAGGAGATATAACAATATAATTAATCATACTGATCAACTAAACAGACTGTAGGCTGCTGGGTCAGATTCTGGGCCAGTGAAAGGATATTACTGGAAATACTGACAAAATCTGAATGAGATTTATAGACTAGGTACTAGTGTTCTACCTGTGTTAATTGCCAGGTTTGGATCACTGTAATTTGGTAAAGATGTTAACATTAGAGGAAGCTGGGGAGAGAGTACACAAGAACTCTATACAGTTTTTGGAATTTTTTTATTAATGCAATTTTCATAAATGTAAAATTAAAATAAAAAGTTGAAAAATTGAGGGAAAAAATGAATTAAATTCTGTCATCTTGGAGCAAAATAATTGCCAGGCTTGAGAATCCTATTAATCATTCCATTCATCGACATGACCAATTTGACATTATGTGTGTAATGTGGGATCCCTTTCAGCATCTGGAGTGGCCAATAGTTTATGAGTTACACACAGTACAGACAAGGAAAACTTGGAGAAACGACATTTAGTAATACACAGCAGTCGCTAATTCATTTAACAGACATGCCAGGTAGTATTTTAGGTACTAACAGTACAGTGATGGAAATTCTAGGCTTGTTAGCAAGAAAGATAAAATTAGAACTTCTGTTCTTTTGGTTTTCTTGAGGTTTTTTTGTTTGTTTGTTTGCAAAAATCAGTAGGTACACTTTTCAGTGGAGAGATAGGGACTTGTGCCAAGTGGAAATTTGTTTCAAATTTTGAGCAAGTATTCGAGTTGTTAAGGCCGCGGTGTGTTAGCTCGTCCATGCGTGACTGCAGAGCACTGATTGACGCTCTTAAGCAGATAAAGGGCCTGAGAAGGCAGGTGAAAAGGTGGGTTACTGGAGAGAAAAGCAGTAGTAAGAGGGCCGACTAAATGGAAAGAGTAAAGAGGAGTAAAGGTAGAATCGAGAACCGTCGTAGTTAATGAGGCGATTTGGTCCTCAAGGGTATCTGCAAAGAAAGCCAAAGGGCAGGTCGGAGAAGAATGACAGGTTCCGCTAAGGAGATTCAGAAGGTGTGGGCGAAGATCCAGAGATAAAGACTGGGCACGGGAGACGCTCAGGAGGAAACCATGAATTTGGGGACCGCAGCGCAGGGGAATGGCACTTGGACCCCATGGGGAGGAAGGACGGGTCACCTACGCAGGGGAAGGGCGAGCGTGCCGGCGGACAGGGGCCCCCAGGCCGCGCGGGTGGGGGAAGGTGGTGGGGCAGAGGGGAGGTGTGCACTGTTTGCTGATGTCATTGCAAGTCAGAGCGCGGTGAAATTTAACACCGGCCGGATTTGCTCGGCTCCTCTTCTTCCAGGCGAGGCAGCCGGCGGCAGTCAACGCCGAGCGTCTGCAGTCGCCACCGGCCCCCTCGCACCGACCCGACTTCCGAAGTGGGTGTGTGCGCTTGTTTGACAAATGTTCGGGCGCGAGCGGTTTCCAAGGACTTCCTCCCCACCCACCTTATACTATTTCCAAACTTGGATATAAATGTTTTTGATAGCATTATTATCTATCTCTAAATTATTCTGCTTTTAATTTGACCAAACTGAAACTCAGACCTTCCTAAACTTTAGCTCTCCATTCTGTCCACCTCCACACTCCTGCGCCACAATCTGTTTTCTGTCTGTCTGAATTGGGACACCTAGGTGCCCACTGAAATTACTGTGTCATTCTGAGACCCTCAAGCTATTCAGTAGCATAAGGTGTTCGAGCTTCATCCATCCTGTAATGTGGGCCAAGTTTTCTTTTCTTTTTTTTTTTTTTTTTGGTGGGTTTGGAACCTGGTTTTCATGTGATTTTTTTCCCTCCTTTTTCATGGACAGTACCTGCACCCTTAACAGTTGGGAGTTGGCTTCTGTTTTCCGTGAGCGCTTTGCTGCACGGACAAATGCATACAAATGCATTTAGGAGCCCACAGGACAAGGCGTGGAAAGGTCTCCCCCACCGCAAAAACGTAAGTATCCCACTCGCCCGGGCGTCAGACCAACCCCTCACTCCACCCCCTGGATCCACCGAGGGTTTGGAGAGTTGAGGTCAGGTTCCGTGGCACTTTTTGGCGTCGAGAGCGGGCGAGAAGCCGTGACATCCTCTTCTTGTCTTCTCAATTTGTAAAATACTGTGTTTGAGAGGAAACCTCGTGCCAGCCGGTCTCAGACAGTTTATGCTAAAGCGAGGCGGCGGCTCGGAAGGAAAAGCTCACTAGCGGGCGTCCGGACGGCCTCGCCTCCGCCTGGTCTCCGGCTCCCACCGCCCTGCGCCCTCCTACCCTTCTCCTCCCTCAGGGTCCCGGCTGAAGTCCTGCTGCTTTCCCTCGGTGTTCCTCAAGGCGTTCAGCCTGAGCTCGCTAAACGCTAGCAGTCCCCTGGGCTCGGTGCCTGCAGCCGGGACCACGGGGCACCGGCGAGGGGCAGGGCTGCGGGTGAAGAAAAGGTGCGCTTGCAGAACCTCGGACACGGGGCGCTGCCCTACCGGGGGGTCCAGAGCCAATCGCCTCTAGTTAGGAGGCCCACAGACGTGCTGACCATCTGGATCCGAGGCTGCGCCCGGATCCCTGGCCTGTCAACCGGGAAATGGCCACAAGGGGGGTGGGCAGGCACGGGGCGGGGATGAGGGTTGGGCGGTGCCTAGGCGACGCCCCCCCCCCGCCCTCGAGCGCCCAACCTGTCTCCACCCCACTGGGAAAAGAGCGAAGACGGGGGTGCGCGGTCCCGGCCACTGCCCTTGTCCCCGTGAGTTACACTCCTGGGCCTCCAGCCGTGGCTGTGGTCAGTGGTTGCACAAGTTTGCTTCTGGCCCGCAGGAGCGAGAGGGGCGAATGCAGTTGTGGTGGTTTCTGCGGAGAATCTGCCCCTCGGG